TTCCCGCTGCCAAGTCAACTTCTGTCCACCTCGAGCCTTGCGCCAACTTACACCTGGTAGACTGAACAAGGCCCTCCTAGGTAAGCGGTGACCAGGCATACGTAGCACGTGCCCGAACTAACGCAACTTATTCAGTGCTATCTGTTGTTCTAGGGAGCTCACATGATTATCACTACCTAGTACTCGCCTACGCACATCATCGTTGCGGACACGCTGGTGCCATCCGACCCCAGCAATACTTCGCAGACAACGATGATCAAAGACTTGAAGGCTACTCAGCTCTTCAGACCAAAGGGGCCAAGTCCCACTACCATAGAGCAGAACGGCCCTCACTGTAGCCTTGTATACACGGCCTTTCAGACGGAGGGAAACTCCCTTCTGTCGCCAAAGATGCCGCAGGTTCAAGAAGGTAGCTCTGGCTTTTGAAATGCGTGAGCTGACGTCAGTTTCTATGCGCCGATCATTGCTGATGCAGCTGCCAAAATAAGTGAAATGATCAACCACCTCGAGTTCCTCGTTAGCAAGCGTCAAGGGGTCATCAAGTGGCTGGTGGTCCTGCAGCAACACTTTGCACTTTTCAGAAAAGTAAAACAGTGGGTCTCCTTCAGCCATTTCGTTTAGGCAGAGAGAAGACAGAGGTTGCGGTATGTCAAAATTTCGATTGTTCTCATCAGTCGCAAACAGAATACGATCAGAAACACATAAGGGATTATATACATGGAAAAATAAAAGGCACCACCGGTGTCGACGGCTGAGAAAAAGAATGTTTATTTGTTCCTGCCGTTCAAGGGGGACCATGTGGCAAATGACATAGGACGAAAGCTCCGGTCCGCCCTAACGCGAACCTACACGACAGCCCAGTTGCGACTCAGGCATACCACGCGAGCACTTGTTCTTCATAACCGTCAGAGCATCTCGTCGGTTAGTTCGGCCTCTCACGCTGTTTATCAGTTCACCTGCGGTTGCGGTGACATTTACATAAGCAGAACAAACCGTCAGTTAGCTCAGAGGGTAGCTGAACACTTGCCAAAGTGGTTGGGACAAGGGATTACGCAACAACATGGGACGAATCTGAGAATCAATCGGAGCCCTGCATCGTCTATAACCAAGCACCTCATGACAACCCGTCATCACGTGAACCCCGAGACAGCGTTCAAAGTGTTATTACGTAACAAAAAGCCGATAATGCTAGCAATTAGTGAGGCGTTGTTAATTAAGGCTTATCAACCTGTGCTATGTGCACAGAAACTCTTGAGACAATCAATTCGGTTGCCATGGTCTTGACTGTGACATTTTGATTGGTGGTGCCTTTTAGTTTTCCATGTATATAATCCCTTATGTGTTTCTGATCGTATTGTGTTTGCGACTGATGAGAACAATCGAAATGTTGACACATCGCAACCTCTGTCTTCTCTCTGCCTTAACATTGCACTTTGAAGGTGCGAAGTGCATACCAAATAATGGGACCGTTCTGGACAGGCTACTCAGGGTTGATTGTGCCGCCCCAACATTGTCGAAAAGCAAGACGATATCGTCCAGATAATCTAGATCAATTAACCTTTCACCAGGCAACACTTCGACGCCTACATCGTGAGATTCCGCAAGGGAACACTTCATGATAGAATCCACGAGGAAATGGAACCAAAATGGGGAAATCGGACAACCCTGACGAACGCCACTTGTGGTCGGAAAGCTATCCGATAGGACACCATAGAACCTGACGCGGCCTGTAGTGTTCGAGAATAGAGCACGAAGGATGTTCACATATTTCGTGGGAACACCTATCCGCGGAAGTATTTCGAACAATCGGTCGATCGACTGAATCGAACGCACTCTTGAAATCGAGGAACACAGCTATTGTCGGACTGCAGTATGCTTGGCGCTGCTCTAGCACCTGCCGCAAAGTGAATATATGGTCTATACAGCCACGTCCTGGGCGGAAACCAGCCTGCTCTTCCCTAATCTGAGATTCCCGTTCTGCAGTGAGGCGACGAACGAAAACCGAGGCCAGTAATTTTGTCACAGCTGGCGTTAAGCTAATACCCCTGTGGTTAGAACAGTATGTGCGACTGCCCTTCTTGTATATCGTCACTATAATCGATTCACTCCAATTAGCCGGCACACTCTCTTCCTTCTAGATACGTTCGAATAGGGAGATCAGTGCCCTGCAGAGGACCTCACCTCCATCCTTAAGTAGTGCAGGTGGGAGGGAACCCGGGCCAACGCCACGAAAACGATTGAGGGCTGTGATCACGTTTCGGACCTCGGACTCCGACGGAGGCTCTATACTAACCATCGATGGCTCGCCCTGCATCACCTCAGTAGGAAGAGGTTCGGGAGCAGGGGGCCAGCTGAACTGGTCTTGAAAGTGTTCCGCCCAACGAGCCATACGGCGCTCCTTATTGTGTATCAGCGCACCCGCGCTGTCTCTGATTGTCTCACTGACGCCTGGTTTTCTGGGACCAGTGGTGCGGATCAGCTGGAAGAGCTTGTGGTAATTGCCTACTGCTCCTGCCTCCTCCATTTCTTGAGCCCAACTGGTCCACCAGGCTTCCTTGTCAGCACGTAGGCTCCGCTTTAGTTCATGCCTAATAGCCCGTTTGGCCACATTGTGTTCAGAGCCAGCCGGGAGGTGTCTTCTAGATTCCAACAGGTTCACCGACCTCTCGGATATCCAGTGACTAGTGCGGTGATGATGGATAGTGCCACAAGCAAATGCTCCTGCGTCGTGCATGGCGGCCGAGATCCTATTTCACTGAAGCTCAGTGTCATTAGAACAAGACAGCGAAAGTTCGGTATGCAGTGAGTCTTGATAGGCTTGCCTGACCGAGGACTGAGACAATTTCTCCATTGCCAATCGGAGGAGACGCTTGGTGCGCCCTGCGGTAAAGTTCATGGAGAAACGACAGCGCACCCAGGTATGATCAGAGTCAACACAGGTACTCCAGTACGAGCGGCAATCCAGTATGGAACCACGCTATCTGTAACTTATGGCTATGTGGTCAATTTGGGTTCATCGCTGGCCAGCTACAGGAGGACGCCAAGTGGCACTTCGGCGCCCACTGTGTCTAAAAGCAGTGCTACTAAGAAACAACTGGTGCACCACACACAGTTACAGCAGATGCTCACCGTTGTCAGTCCGTTCGGAGTTCAGCCCACAATTACCACCCAACTGAGCTTCTGAGGAGCTCAGACGCCCTACTTGTACGTTCATATCCCCTGCAAGTACTATAATATCTGAACTAGTAGCACTGCATAGTAGCGCGTTCAGTTCCTGATAGAATGTGTCCTTGTGAACATCTGGGCTGCAGTCGGTGGGAGCATAAACAAAAGCACAAATAAACAGCGTTTAGTATTACTTCGTGAATCAACCTTAGTTGATGTCGTCAAACGGGCTGCACATAAACGGCTGTTCACCGGAATCCAATCAACCAACGATGGCTCAGCCCTGGAGCTGAGAATGACGACTACACCAGCTTGACCTGTGAGTGCTGCATCGGCGTCTCCGGATGCGTGCAACCAATAACGAGAGGATAAGCCGGGTGCAGTTAATTCAATAACCCCGTCAGGGTCATTGATCCTAGTTTCGGACACACAACACATCAATACACAGTGTGTCCAAGGTGCGTGCGAGTGCCGCCTGCTGACCTGTTTGTCTTAGAGTGCGGACGTTGAATATCGCCATGGAAACGGGAAAATAATAATAAATAATGTGTCAGCTGTACGCCGTAACGGCGCTTCGCTGCCGCGAGACCACCACCAGTCGCGCGCGGGCTGAGTATACCGCGAGGACGCCCACCCCTACGCGGATTGGAAACGGGATAGCGTGGCCTTATAAGGGACTTTTGCCGATAGGCGTCTGATAGGTGCTGTGGGATGGTGGCTGTAGATGGTTCTACTCCAGTGGTACTTCGGTTGCTGTCAATTAAGCTGGGAATTATAGTAGGAAGGTTAGTAATGAGGGTCGGGATGGGAGTAATAGAAAAAGGTGGAAAAGAAAGAAGGGAGGCGCCAGCAGTAGCATGTTTTCGCTTATCCGCCTTGCTGTATGCAGAATATAAGGCGACCCATGATAATCTGTGAGACGGCCGATGCAGGATGAAGTTTATGTTTGAAGAAAAGGTCCTGGTTGTATGTGGGCTAAGATACTGCCAGGGTGCCCAGACCTAGACAGGAGGACGATTAGGGTCCTCATCCAAAGCCTTTGGCTCAAAATCCTGTCCGCAAGGCAGCGGGGAGGTGGCAGTAGGTCCAAGTTGGAAGCATAATAGGCCAGCAGTGCAACAGAATGGCAATCATATGAGGATTGGTAAGATCTCAACCAGAGCATGGTTAGGCTAGAGATTCCGAGTGATTTAGCTTTGACAAAAATGATGGTGCTGTAAAGGAATTTATCCCGGGTAGCCCAGCAGCTTGATTAAATTTTTATTACATCAGGTAATACCAGCACAACAGTGAATACGGAGTTAAACATCGAGCGTGTAGCGTGCGCAATCTTAAACCGGAGATAGCGACTGTACTATGAAGCAGGCATGATCGCACAATGCTGTTGATCTTTTAGAGCTCAGACATACGTCTTGCGATTAGCAGGAGTGACGGAGAGATAGAAAGATTTATGAGGACCACAGTGACGATGTGGCCATGGATGATGAAGCAGACCGCCAATGATATTACCACTGGACATATATATATATATATATATATATATATATATATATATATATATATATATATATATATATATATATATATAATTCGGCGTCTAGCTATCGACGTTATTCAGCTCAAATCAAGAAGGATAGATGTTAAGCTGTTGATAGTGCCGAGTGATGAAATGGGCGCGAAAGTATTCGAATTGCCCGTGGCTGTAAACGCCAAAGGTTGACTCAAATCTAAGCGCAAATTAATGAGATCCAGGGAAACCGTTGTCACCAGATGCCTGGTTACCTATGAACGAAAAACGATCCTGTTGTGACTGGTAACCATGAGAGAAAACGAACCTGTTTATCCTTGGGAATCACAGGCTGAATTTGGTGATTGACGAGATGGATGGGCTCCACACTGGATACATACACCGCATAGTCTGTGAAGAATCCACTGAGTAGGGACGATAGATCGCTCTCCGCGTCTCCGCAGTCGGCAGATTCGTTGCTCAAGAGAGTGGGATAGCGTGTGATCAGGTCCGAATGGTCAAAGACGATGACCGCTGACATTTCAGATACATTGTGTAGATTGATAAGTGGTTGGATTGCTGGCTTGCCGTGAGACGTAAACGCATGAACAGGTCTGGTAAGGATGCTCCAACCCACATCGTTTAGAGCCATAAGTACCAGATTGTAGCATGTGCGGGGTTCCAATCCGACAAAAGTATAGAAATTTCTCGGTGAGGAAACGTTTTGTTGAGTAACCAGTTTATCCCTTGCAAAGAAAAATGGGAAACAAGAATGGGATAATTGTCGGAGCAGTGGGTTTCGGAAGCTTGAAGCACTGAGCTACAACGAAGCAGGCGAAAGCGAGTAGGCTTTTTAAGTTTGTCATAGGTGAATGTCTAAGTTGCTTGTGAATATTGCAAACACAAGTGGAGACTTGGTAAAATGCCGTGAATCAACCCAAGACGGGGGTTTCCCTTGGTCCAACAGGCCAAGCGCATAGTCACGATGGGAGATGTTCTACTCTGAAGGGGTGAAAACTCAAAGTGCCGTTAGAATACTGACCGCAGTTACTTAGAGAGCACCACTAGTCCAGAGTCACATCAGCGTTCGTGCAACGATGCGGCGCACGTGGGGAGGGTCAAGCAAATGCAATCAATAGGGCCGAACACTTGAGTTGGCTCTTTAGGCTCATGCTAGTGACAAGGACGATGAGACCAAGACATGCGATGGACTGGATAATAGGGGAGAGTAAGAGATGACACGCGATTTTAAGCAGGAATAACGGACACTTCGTTTGTCAGCGAGGCTGACGTGAAATGCAGCGTCTAAAATATGAGTTGACCACATTCTGAGAGCAGGAAGTTCAACTCAGACTGCAATGGTTGATTGAGCAAAATTCAGCTTTTGCGAAATTTCCACCATTCTTGTAGATAAGCGAAAAGGGTAGCAAATTAGCAACTCACTTAGTGAACAGGTACAGACTGTGGAGAATAACTGGGCTGTTATTGTCAGTGGTGAAATTCCACGAGACCGAGAGAGAAGTGGGTGATTCAGAAAGGACAGTGACATTACCAGGTGGGTTAGGAACATCTAAAATGATACTTGAGAAAAAGCAGAAACAAACCTCTAACGAGAAGTTCCGCTGTAGCGTTCATTAGTGGCTGATTGATAGAATAAGCAGTACAGTTGTAACGCCCAGAATCGGAAAATGAGACATTCGGCAATATCAATGGTTGCAATGGCTCGTTAACCCTACTGGTGACAGGAACCTTGGTTTTATCCGGTTTTATCCATAGAATGAAGGAAATATTTCCAGTAGAACCGTTACCGCATTGGAAGTGGGCAGTATATCCTCTTCGGATGTGAATGGTGAGATTATTGAGAGGACTCAGCTCAAAGAGTGAGTAGTTTTCACCACAGACGTGGGGCTGATTAAGTGCCAGAAGTGCAAAAACTACGACGACGGATGCTTGCCCATTGGATAGCGAAGGGGTCGTCATTATCGATAGGGAAAAACAGATAGCAGCAATCCAATAGTCAAGATCCCCGAGGTAAAGAGGGAGTCAAACAGACGAAAAATAAGCATTGTTCCGCTGATGGAAAAGCCAGGTTATACACCAGACTACTATTTGAGATGAGCGAATGGTCAGTGTAGAAGCAAGAAAACAAGGGGTTGCCTGAAAATAGAGGTAAGGACATTATCTTTTGGCTTTACCATATTCACTAAAAACCGCTGAGCAAGTGATCAGATCTACCTGGCTGAAAGCAAAGCGGCTCATAGAATACAAAGCCTAATGCACGTAGTTCAATCCGAAAAGCTTCACGATGAGAGCTTATCAAGCACAAATATAACTGAGTGATCTAAGAGGTCTTCATACCTTTACTTTAGTTCAGTGCAGTCAGACAACTATGATCCGGGCACCGAAATGCGGTGGGTTAAGCAAGCACAACTCGCATTATCGGGATAACAATAAGCGATGATAGTAAAATTACGGCATGCAAAGAAAAGGATTAAAATGCATGCAAAACTAATCCGGATGAAACAACAACAGTTAAATGCAAGAAAGTGAATGCAGTAGCGCTAGTAACGGCATGACTGCGCTATATCCGATAGAGTATGCAATTAGAGATGTAGATCATTCCAAGGCCGTATCCACGAGGAGACATGCACTAATATGACTTTATTCCACGTCATCGATCGGTCACCTCGCAGTTTCGTCCAACTACAATGTACACCGAGGAGAACGGTTAACTAACATAAGCATACAACCTACAGTATGTACGTGATAACGCTTTTGCCAACAATCTAGCGAGGCATCAGGCTTCTGACCGAAAACTAACAGGCGGGAATTAAAGCTACTAATTACAAAGCAGGGCCCTGTTGGTCCATCTCTGCTTCCAGGCTGGAGTCCCCGTGACCCACCTTGTGCTTTGCATAAGGCGTTACAGGACACGGTTTGCATTAGAGGCCAGTGGAGCATCTGCTGTCGCCTATTCGTCCGACTGCCTGTTCAAAGTGTGCTCGGTGCTGAGTTAGCTGCGGATAATGACAGTTTATGATGCAACGTAGTGAAATCCGAAAGAAGCCGTCTCGCTGATGTCGCCTTATGTTTGCATGATAGCCAGCTGCTGGTGACCGTGTGTTTTTGATAAAGTGTGGGTGCCTTGGCCCTGAATACTGCATTGTAGGAGCAAGTGGAGATCCAGATCTGCACAACTTTATCGGAATATAATCGAAAATATTATAAACAGTATCTGCCAACTGTGATAGTCGAATCTTTTTTTCAAGTTTCTAGGTAACGTTTATAAATCCCGACTTATAGCACCATTGGGCCAACAAATAGACGGCCCGTAACCTAAAGGGAACGAGCTTGTCTTGTAATTTGACGGCGCGGGTTCGAGCCTGCGCAGTCAGGGGGATCCTCGCAGTACCCTTAGCCCGGGTGCGACCGGTAGTGGTTGCGCAGCAGCGAAGCGTCGGTACTACATACCGGCGTACTGTTGATGCCTTTTTTCTTTCTTCTTTAGGTCCACAAATGTAAGAGGTCACTACCAGTCTGCAATCGTTCTCTGAATCGAAAGGCGGTGAAATACAAATCTAACAATGTTTTGAACACCTGCACAGATTGAGCCTTTATGGCTTGTTCTGGTAGACTGCTCCAAAGATTTACCACACTTCGTTCGAAGCACAGGGGGTGGGGAACTCACTTTAAATCCGGAACCACAAGCTTATACCGATGTCCGCGTGTGTTGCATGTAGTTTGCGAATGAAGCAGTGGTCTTAACATGTGAAATTCACCGAGATATAAGATGCGGTAGGTAATGATGAGATCGACTAGCACCCGACGATAGGACAAGGTGTAGAGTCTTAGTTTTACGCACCGGTCTTCGTACCGTGATACTCTGAATGAGCCTGGTAGCTACGTGCTTGACCCGTCCGATCTTCTGCGCTTCGCCTCTGGTAAGTGGACGGTAGAAGAGCGAGCCGTACTTCAGTATTGGTCTTATGATGGAAGATGACAGGCGAGTAGCGAGCTCTTCAGACTAAGTACAGAAGTTGCGCTTGAGCGCCAAAGGCATGCGCAGTCTGTTACGATATAACCTGTTCGTGTTGTCCACGGTCTTCAAATTCCAGCATGAGAACACAGCTAGGCCAGTCATGGAAAGTGTGCGATGTATTGGTTGGCTGTCAATGGTGTAAGTGTGGCCGCCATCACCCTTCCCAGGCGCATGAATATCAACTTGCTTGGGTTGATCGGGATGGAGATTTCTGAAGATCACATGGAAAGACGGTTGAGGTCTCGCTGAAGTAGGCCGCAGTGTTCGGAAGTGCTTTTCACTCTCCAGGCCGTCCGCAAACGGAGCAGACGGCGACCAAAGAAGCTGCAAATTAAAAACAAAGTGAGCTCCAAAGTTGGGACTTGGAGTACGTCACTAGCAGACGGATGCCAGTCAGTTAGATGGCCGTCGATTTGTACCCTCCACTTTTCTTCAACGAAAGCTCTGGATCCACTGTTTCAGTGATCCGACAACGCACAATCTCATCTTGTGGAAAAGGATCCTTGCTGAATGCTTTAGTGAAATCGAGGTAGATTAGGTCGACAGACTTCCCGTGGTTCAGTTCCTGTAAATGTTTGCTTAGTGCCTTCAGGTCTTGTGCCATGTCTACTTTCTCTCGCTCTTATTATCCTTCTGTCGTATGCATGCACTTGCCCCTTGCACATGTCACATCATAATCAACTCTTTTACCTTTCAGCTGATGCATCTTCGCTAGATCAGTAAAGCGTATACTTCCTACCCCGTGTTATTCCATCAGTTGTGTTATCTCCGTCCAAAGCATCAATTTATAAGTCTAACACAATGGACCGCTATTTTCGTCTTGATAAATTCGACACAGATTTAAATGCTTCAGATGCCTCTAAGCAGTGGACGTATTGACTTCGAACATTCAACGCCTTTCGAAAGCGAGTTCATTCTGAAGACTTGGATAATCTGGACATGCTTGTCAAGTTTATGTCACCTCCCGTGTATCAGCATATCGCTGAATGCAAAACCTTGAAAAGTGCTGTTTCGCTTCTTCAGTCCTTGTATGTGCGTTGTATGTGTGTTTTTGCTCGATATCTTTTAACTATATGCAAGCAGAAATATGGACAAAATATCGACCAGTTTGTGCAAAGCGGCACAAGTTTAGCAGACTGCGATTTTCTCTCTGTCTCAGCTGATGAATATTGCGACGACACCATGCGTGATGTCCTCATAACCGGCTTAAAGTCAGACAGCATTAGAAAGAGGATCATGGAGCAGCCAGTCTTAAATGTTCAGACTGCTTATGATATGGAAAGGTCGCTGGAGGTTGCTCGGAAACCACCACAGTTTTATGGGACTGAAACTATTCCCAATGCCTCGACAAATTCTGTTCCACGTACTCTTCATCACTCCGATAACTCAGCTGAAGCTGAACCGATTGTGTCAGCGTTGTCCACGGCAACGTGCTATTTTTATGGATATACTAAACACCCCTGCTTAAAAGGTCCTGAGAAAAATGCCATTTGCAAAGCCTGTGGGAAAACGGGGCATTTCAAAGGTGTGTGTAAATCCAAACCCTCTATTTCATCCATCACTACAACACTACATCCGATTTGTCCTCCACTTTGACGGCTGAAGCTCCAATCTGCTTGTCTCGCACAACAAGCAGAATTTTCCTAAACAACACCGAACCACATGCCCTAATTGATACTGGCAGTTCTGATAGTTGTGTCACAACCCGTCATTTACTCCCACCACTGGAAAATGTATACATGTGACTCCAAAATCACTAGGCTTCCACCACACCGGCACGCGCCATTACTGGATATTGCAAGGTTCGGATTCGCTACCAAAACGTTGTATACAATGATATTGATTATTGCTTGGAAGCAGCAAGTAGGGTTTGCTCTGTGTAGCTGCATCTAATGTTACTCAGGGACAAAGACCCGTTATGTTGTGTTGCGTTCCATTTATTTTGCGTCGGCAAAGTGTTTGTCCAGGAACTACTTAAATTCCGACACCGACTTTGCCTCAAGTACGTGCTGTGGCAGGTCGTTCCATACATTCACCACTCTGCTAAATAGAGTTGGTGAGCGATCCGCTTCAAATCCGGTACGACAAGCTTATACCGGTGTCCTCGTGTGCTGCTTGGTGTGCGCAGATGAAGCAGCAGTCTCAAGATGGGGTAATCACCCAGATGTAATATCCGGTGAGTCATGATGAGGTCAACTCGCATTCGACGATAAGCTAGGGTGTACAGCCCTAGTTTCTTACACCGGTTTTCCTACGGCACACCTCGTAGGTTGGGAATCAGCCTGGCGACTACATGCTGCACTAGCTCAATCTTTTCCACCTCGCGCCGGGTGGTAGAACAACACGCGGGAGAGCCATACTCTAGTATTGGTCGTATTATTGAGTCGAAGAGGCGAGTAGCAATCTCTTCGGACCAAGTGCTGAAGCTGCGCCTGAATGCCCAAAGCATACGAAGGCTGTTTTGGTAAAGCCTATTCGTGTTGTCCATGGATTTTAGGTCGTAGCGTGGGAGTACACCGAGGTCGCGCACGAAAGGCGCGGGTTGCAACGGTTGACCAGACACCGTTTGACTGTGCTCACACTTACCCAGCCTCATGAATTGCGACTTGACCGGGTTGATTGGAAGGGTTGACCTCTGCAGACCACGCGGAGAGGCGGTCAAGGTCCTGCTGAAGCAGATCACAATCATTGGGTGTGCGGATTACTCTCCACACCATCAAGTCATCTGCGAACAGCGCACCAGGTGATTGGAGTAGCTGAGGCACATCGTTTACATGGATGAGAAACAAAATCGGCCCCAGTACAGTGCCTTGAATCACGTCACTGCTCGATGAATACCAGTCGGTTAAAAGGTTGTCCACCTGAACCCTCCACTTTCGATCAGCAAGGAAGTTCCTGATCCATTGGTGCAGCGAGCCACCAACACCGCACATCCTCAGCC